TTGAATATTGTAATCTATATTTTTATTATAGTCCTTGTGATTTTTTTCCTTCTACACTGGAGGGCTTTTTTTACATAAAAAATTTAGTGTTGTGTTTGTTTATTTTTGCTTTGATTGTTTACTTTCATATTTAACCACTTTAGTTGGTTACTTGAATTGGTGAATTTATTTTTGCAATACACCATCTTTTCGAAGTTAATATAAATAGTTATGCGAGTAAACAAGTAGGGTATTTTCAGTCTGAAAATTATTCAATTTTGTTTGCAAACAAAATCATGATGGTTTGCATCCCAATGCCTCAAACAACAGTTGATGTTCGGAATCAGGGGCGGACCCACATGGGTTCATGTGGGGTCAAATGACCCCACAAAATTTTGGCCCCTTTTTTTATATACGTTTATAATCTACTTTGATGCAATTGTTGCGGGATGCCCAATGAAATCAAAATATTACATTTTTAATACCACTTCGAAGTACTCATAGCTTAATTTTTCACTCATTAATGGCGTATGAAGTGGTCAACTATAGCAAAAGTTATGATGTGTCGAAGTAGGCCATTTGAAACTATTACTTTGAGAATTTCAATAATATTCTAACTTTAAAAATTCGTCTACGACCATGTGCTATTTGAATCCAAAAATCATCTATGTCATGTAGAAGCTTTTTTCGAAAACTACATCGTTGTCATATTGAATGGTCCAAACTGATTCGAAAATAGTTAAATACGCATCAAACATACATTTCAAAAAAAAAAAAAAAAGTCTAACTTGTCTTTTCTTTTAAAAAAATTCAATTATTTTATTAGCGTTTATTATTTTTGCACGATAAATTTTTCAATATAATTTATATCGTTTCATTCGGAAATCTTACATGAAATATGACCTAAAAATTTTTAGGGTCGTTACGGATTAAACGTAATTTGAATTACTTTCGAATTAGATTTGCTTTGAATTTGGATTTCATTTACTTCCTCGATTAAATTTGAATTTTATTTCAATTC